CAAGCGAGCCAGGACACGCATGAATGACTTGCTGTTTGAAGTCAGACAACCGGAATAGATCAAATGAGATTACCAACGGTGAGTGAACTGTGTTTGCGGCAGAGATGAATTTGAGCAACAGTTCAAATAAGAAAGCTCAACAATGCAAACACACACACACACGAAAGAACAGATGCGCACGCGTGGACGAGCAGGACAAAAGGGGGAAATTTTGGACTCCAATTGTCCGCTTGGTTAGATGGTGGAAAAGTTTCTATTAGGTGCGTGTGTGTGCGCGCTCACACAGAAAACTATCAGAACAACGCTGTATATGTTGAACCAAGAACGAGAACGAATTATGAGATAAGCATGGCTGCTAAACTAACAACAGCGCCGCTTATCGATGTGAAGAGATCAAGAAAATTGCAAGAACGCGACAGTCTATGGTGACTGTGATTAGAATCACAAACCGGTGAAACAGACCAATTGTGTCTCATTTATTTTATTTCCTCTAGAACACCGAGCGCGACGGTGAAACTAAGATCCACAATCAATACAAACAGACAACGTGGCTCTGTCGATGAGTTCAACATCTTGATGAAGCATTTTAATCTGAAACGATAAGACCTGAAGAATACCCAAGCTTGGTGACTACAGCGACCGGACGTATGAACTCCTGATTATACACGAAATGATTTACAGCAAAAGGCGTACACCTCATAATCAATGACATGCTGCAAAGGGGAAGGCATGTGAGGAAACATTCAAATGGGAATCAATTTGCTAATCCTGGTTTTGAAAAGAGTAAGAGCTTGGAAACATGGAGATGGAAAGAGTATTCCACAATTTCGCAGTACTAGAAAAAAACGGACAGATAGAAGTCTGACATCAGCTGAAACCTGATAGGGTTGACTACCCGTCTGAGAACGAGATGGACCAGAAAAGGTTACTGAAAGGGTACTCGCTCAAGCAAGTTCAGAAGAGCAGAAACCAAAATAGTACCGATAGAACAGTGATAACGAAGCAACCTCCCGGCGATGGGAAAGCGATTGCAGGTTAGAATTTAAAGACTAATCTTAAATCAACCGGATGGTCTTACGTTGAACACGGTCGACGAAAGAAAGAGCGGAATACTTGGGTTTAGAGGAACGCTTTGCACGAAATAGAAAACCGACCTCGCGCTTGGTGCGAGAGACCAGTGCGGAAATAAAAGGGGACCAAAGGAGAGAGTTTACGGGAAAAACCCAGGAGAGAGAGAGTTTGTGGAACGAAAGAGCAGCGAATCTTTACGTTGAAATCTCTCAGATTCATTGATCGACGAGGCTTCAGAATCTATTTCCGAATACCTTAATGTGGCTGAGGTGGGTTTCGGCTGGTCACCCTTCTCTTGAACCTCGCAAAATGCTCCCATGCGACCAAGAGTCTCAAATAATCTACTCTTCTCGTGGCGAAGGTGTTTTCCAACCAAAGTGAACGGACGAAAAGCCAATTTCCGGAGCTATAACTGGGTTGTTGGACCAATGCTAACTCACCTAAGGGAGTTAGCCCAAAACCCTGATTACAAGCAAACCAAGAAGAGGAGCACGAACAACACACACACACCGTCCTGGTCGTGATAGAGACTACCGCCTCCATTGGGTAACCAGGTAAATTGGGCACCTAGGACCTTTGACTCCGTGCAAAGGGTGTGTGAACTGATGAACTGGACAACGGCTGCCAATGAATTGCGATTTTCCCACACCGCCCTGCTGCCTTGTTGGTCAGGCTTTGGCTAGCCGAAGGCTGCGGTTGTGAATTCCTCAAGAAAAAATTCGCCAGCATCGGCCTGGACAACCTGACAATATTCCGTCCACGAACAAATCATGGGATATCTGAGCGGTAGCCCACTTATCACTACCAATCCCGATCAATGCAACTGGTAGTGAAGACCTGATTATCCTGTGCTCGAAAACCGATACAGTATGAAATTGTTTTAGATTCGTGTATTCATCGAAGCTTTATGGATAGATATTGTTAGAGTGTCCAGCCACTAAGCAGAACGACTAGGGTGCTCAACCACAGGGCTTTGATTCTGACAAGAACCTAACTGTAGAAAGTCGGGGGGGGGGCGAGTGAAGCGGAGGCCCATTTACTTGGACCAATTACTCCTTCATCATCTTTACCAACTGAAACGCCTGGAGAACCAGTAGATTGAACCTCTACCCTGCCATGCATGAATAGATCTCCTGGCTTGATATCCATCCTGTGCAGCTTGTTGGGCCTGAGAGATGCACAAGTCATCACACCACGTCAAGGTGCAGTCTGGTAATGAAAACATCCGTCTGAAATACAGCTTATTGTTTTTCTCCTGAAGGTCGAAAGAAACGAACGAGATAGTGCGCGGAGTGGTGGGGTTAATAGGACCATGAATCCCAGTAGCATGTGTAAAATATAGCCAAGAAGAGATTAGAAGATATTCATCACATAAGCTGGTTGACTCTGTATAGTTAGGTTCCACTTCCAAGAAACCACCCCATCCCCGCAACACACACACACACACCAAAAAACAAAAACTTGACGTACTTACCGTTTCCGTGAAGACGGAATTGAGAAAAATCTTTCGCCATCCATTCACAGTACGACCCAGTGAGGGAATACGCAAACCGAGCAAGTTTGAAATCAGTTCGGTAATCGGTCCGGGTTGATTGGTGTGAAACAGAATGGCCAACAAGAGCAACGGTTCCACATACGGTTTGGAAACACTAACCGCATCCAATCGATCGGACAACGCATCCCAGTTGGACAGGGCCGGGGAAGATGATAAGGCCATGGACTGAAAGTAATCTTGTTTGTCGATCAAACGTTGCAACCACATGACAATGGTACGTTCCGTGTCCACCGTAAAATCAGTCCGATTCCCTGTGTCCTGAGAACTGTGATGTGGATGGACAGTTGGATGGGGGCAAGAGAATCAACTCGAACGGTTAAGTTAGCTCCAAGGGAACCAGTGAAGCTAGAAAAAAAAAAGCAAGGTCACACAGACACACAACTGAGTTAATTAGGAAGGTACAAAAGACAAAGGACCGTCGACAGTTAAACGAGACGTCCTTGGCCCACTGTGTGATCATTTGCCGAGTTTCATGTTTGTAATGTCCTCGACAAAATAGATGGAATAATGGACGGGTAAGGCTGATCGACGCCGGTGATGGGGGTGGAACTTGTGCATAGAACATGACAATAGGTCCCGTAACAATCCGAGTAACTAACTAGATAGGGTACGCACATGCGCGCATTCTTTAAGGTTTGTGTTCAAATTGCACGAGGTCACAGTGTATCCTCAGGAGAGAGAGAGTGGCGATGGGTAGGAAAGGAAGACGAACATGAATTAGTAATGGGGACAACACACGCGAATTGCTTGGATAAATCACGGGGGAGGGGGCTGGATGGATGGAATCTATCTATTCAATTAACAAGATTTATTGAAAATAATATTGAACTGGTGTGACAGAAATTTTGAAAACCTAGTGAAGAAGTTCGAACTTTGTTAAGCGTTAATTTTCGGGAATCCTGTACGTAACATGCAACATGGAACAAAAAATTGATAATTTGTTAAGGTGAACTTTTGTTCACTGTATCGAATAAGAAATTCACAGTTTAAAAGTCAAAAAATATGAGCTACGCATCAGCAGCAGCAGCTACTGCTGCTGCTGTTGTCGCTTACTGCGATCTCAGAACAAGCCACCGGAAAAATCAAATGCACGAAACACGGCTCGTTAGATTCACCTAAAGATGTTTTCGTCTTCGGCTGAAAGAGGTCGCAGACCTTACACACACACACATCAACAGCGCCTCCTGTTTCCTCCCTCCCCCCACGCCCGCAACATACTCAGCAAAAAAAAAACACTGTTCTTCATTAATCAACCGGCGTTGGTAACATTAGGCCCACTAATGATTTCGGAAGCCGGTCTGATATGTTTTTGAAACAAAGCAAACAAATGAGGGTCAAAGAACAGAAGAATTTACACAACCCGAAGGTATCAACGGCTGAAATTGATTAATACCTTTGCAAAATATACAGAAAGACCTGAGAGAAGTAAACACAGGGAGCGGTTTCACTGTTTCTACATTCACCGGGAAGGGTAAGCAATTCAAGTGGACAGTCACGTGGGTCATCATTTTGTCGAACAGATAGATAGGTATTCAAACGAACGAAAGTTCGACAATATTACCTACAAAGAACACCTGGTGACATAATAGAATAGGATATAGAAATTTCTCCTTGTAGAACAACAATAATCGTAAATAACTGAGAGACAGTGGCGCCACACGGTAGTGCCGGAATAACGGCAACCCTGATTGGAAACAGTTTTTGTTCCAGTAGACTAGTTTCAGCTTTCTCGAGTAACCCTCGATTATTCTCCTTTATGGGAACTTTCCGGGTTACAAACTGATTTCTTTTACTTCGCGCCATAAGCTTCTGTCTTTTGTGCCCAGCTCATACACGCCCCATGCCGAGTACTGCGCGCCACGGTGGAATACAGACTATGGATCGGATGTGAGGTCTGGATCAGACTGTTCGATCAGGCTTTAGATTAGATTCGATCAAAGAGGAGTAGCCGGATTACGAGTTGTCCACCTTAATCTGTATTACAATTAGTCTTCTATTTCGGGATTATTAACTGATCCTGCTCATCCTGCTCATTGGATGCAATATACCTCACTGAATCAGCAACAGAAACCATGTCAATGAATACCACAGAGTTGGTCTTTCTCCACCTCATCTCACTAAATGTCAAATCGGTAATCGTATGCATGCTCTCTGAANCCAGAAAGGCTATTACAATGAACCCGGATTGCTATAAAGCCAAAAGGCGGTGCTGGTCGAGGATAGTCCAATACTGCCAATAACGTTCGAGAAATGGTTAAATTGTCATTCAAACAATAAAATATCTCATTTGGAACAAGGTTGCAGAATTCCCACACGCATACTCAGAAGTATCTCACAAAAAGATGAAATTTGAATTCACACAGTACCACCACCTCGTAGCTCGGCTGACCGAAGGCATGCCGTTGTAAGTCAATCCCAGCCCCATCGAGAGTATCTACCTTAACGAAATTATGATTTACCCGAAACGATCAAATTCTTGAAAGGCATCCTCGACAAAGCTCTCACAGTCGGTTGGCCAGTTGAGATCACAAGTGTTTCTGGTCCACAGGCAAAACTATGAGTTCCACGGAGAGATCCGCGAATCAGCAAAAGCCATAGCAAGTCAGAGACGAAAAGAAAGTATCGTGGCTGTTTGAAAATGAGAAAGCAGACTGTGAGTAATATCGCAGAGAGGATGGAAAAATTATCTGTTTGGCGGCGAACATTGCAGCAAGGCTTCCCCACTCGTCACAGTCAGCAAACGCAAGTAGCGGAGGGATGCGACCGAGGAATTAATCGGTGCTACAGTCAAGACAGATTTCAATTAGGTGGAGAAAGATACGAAAAGTAGACAAAAATGATACATTCCCTATCGACGAGAGCGGTCTGAGGAGGCGAAAATTTGCCGTTACAAGGTCAGTAGAGCAGGGCAGAGGTGGGTGGGTGGGTGGGAGCATTTCGACAGACTGAAAGAAATAACGAAGAAGGACTGAGATCAAAACAAACAACAAGGAAGGCTAGAAAACGAAAACACAGTGGTCTGCGTAAACATTCACATGCACACACA